CAATACATTTGGATTAGATAATGATGGTATTTCGAATGAAAAACAAATTTTAGGTTCTCGTTATAAAAGAAGAGATAGTGCGAGTGTCTTAGACCTACATGAGCGTTTTCTTCATCTAATGATTTCTTGGTGGTTTCGACCATCCGGAGGTCGTTATTCTACTCTTAGAGCTTTGGATCTTTGGTGGTTACATTGTTTCGAAAACCGTATTAAAATTAACCTACCTCATATTATTTTTATTGAAATTGTTGAAACCGTAAATCTTGTTCCTAACAAGAAACACTGTTCATCTCTAGTTTACGGTTGCTTTTTGAGTAATCTGTTTTCCAAAGCTGGGCTTAGAGTCGGTCTAGATGCCGTTTTTCCTCTTAAGAAACAAATAAATCTTCTTTCCTTAACGAGAGCGGGATGGGTAAAGAACAAAGAAACCGGTGAATGGGTTCGATCTTCTACTCCGGGAGCTAGTTCTTCACAAGCTCCACCCGAAGCTGACGAAGATCCCGTTGGATTGTTGGATTTTGGATTTATGAATGGTGTGAACTTATATGTTTGGTGTTTTATTCATTTTTGCATCATTAACATTATCATTAGCAATATGACCAATTTTGCCATATCACATTATTTATGAATATTGATTTATGAAACTAATGGCTAACCTCTCTTTTGATTGTGATCTTAGCAGCTTAAGCTTATAATTAATAAATCAATTGGCTAAATGATTTTCAAAACCTTGTTTTACAATGTCTTTTTGATTTAACAAAAAGGGGGAGAAGAATAAGTGTTAAATGTTTTACATGATAAATTGAAGAAGTGTTAAAGTAAGGGGGAGTAATTTCAAAACATGATTTCAAAAATCTTAAAATTACTAAAATGTTTTGTTATATCAAAAAGGGGGAGATTGTTGAAACATTTTAATATTTCGATATAACAAATTAAGTTAAATGGATTTTAAGATTTTCCAAATGATTTTCTAAGTATATTCGATATAACTATTCGAATATCAAAACATTACTCCAAATATTTCAAAAATCATTTTTAATCCTTACTTAAGTGTAAAATTAAGTTTTAATCATAAAACAATTTCAAAATAATTTTACAAAGTATTTCGAACCAATTCAAAGCCAAAATTTCCAGATTGCTCAGAGGGAATCGATTCCCCCCATAGGAGGAACCGATTCCCCCCTGAATGGTTTGGCTCCGAGAATTCCAGTATGCTCGGAGGGAACCGATTCCCCCCAAGGGGGTACCGATTCCCCCATTGTACAACGGTCGAAATATTTGAATTTTACACTTAGAGAACCGATTCCCTATGAGGGGGAACCGATTCCCCCTCGCTCCAAGCTGTTTTATTAAATGTTTTCACACTAAAACGGCTATAATATCTTCTCTAATTATCCCCAACGTTCAGAAGTGATCCAAGGTGTATTTAAGCAAGCTTAGAAGCCATTGATCAACAACAAGAAACATCAAGCAACTAGAATCAAGAGAGAATCAAAGAGAAAGCATCAAACCTCAAGTTTGAGCATTTCAAGCCTATTTTCATTCAATATTCATTTTGCTTTCAAGAACACTTATTGTGCTCAATTGTATTCATCATTGAGTGTTCTTTTCTTTGTTCTAGAATTGTGCAAACATCTTACCTTGTGAGGTTTTCTTGTAAGTTTGCAAATTTGTAATCTTCTCTTTGAGAAAAGAGTGTTCTCAAGAGTTGAGGTATACTCTTGAGGGAATTGTAAGGTTATCTCTTTGGCCTCAAAAGAAAGAACAAATTAGTGAATTTGTTGGAAAATCCTTAGTGTGGATAGCTAAGGTAGTGGACGTAGACTTTGTTTGAGAAAGTCGAACCACTGTAAATCGCTGTGCAATTACTTTCAATTTTCTGCAAAAGCTTCCACAAAATTTTTATTGCCAATTCACCCCCCTCTTGGCCAATTTCGTCATTCGATTAACTCAACAATTACCTATCCAAGTTTTTCAGAAAACTGAGAATGACATCCTGAATATGTTAAGTGTTTTTCAATTCTCACGTATTAGATTGAGTCATCGCTTAGCATTTCGGCTTATACTAGCATGAATCCCGAAGTCAATTTGACAACTGTTGTTTTTATGTCAAAATAAATTCCTTCTTCTCAGTAATATATCAAAAAGAAATACGTAATAAAGAGAAGTAAGGGTCGATCCGCATGGACTTAGAAAATTCCCAAATGTTCGTTTGAATTACTTAAACTTGGCGATAAATAGTAAAGAAAATAGGCGATTTGATGAAAATGATTGAATAAGGAAAAATAATTTTAAAGAGAAAATAAAGAAAGAAAACAAAGATTTGAAAAAAAAACTATAGTAAAAAGTAGCCTCAAACCTCGCTTTGACTCAATTCGTTTCTGATCATCGGAATTGGATTTTCACTTCAAGATTCACGTTGGTTACAGTCTACAATGCATTATCCATGTAACTTGCTTTTCACTTTGGTAACCTATTCTCCCAAAGACAATCTTTGGAAATCTAGCTTTTAATTGAACCAACTACGACAATCGTCGTTAGTGCAAAAATATTTTTAGTTTAGGAAAAGTCCGACTCAGATTATGTTGTCTCTCTAAGAATCGAACCCGATCTCAGTTTCCCTTAGCGGACCGCCGCTAAGTGTGTTCACAGGAAGTCATATTTTCTATTTGCTGGTCTTTCCTCCCAACTTTAAATCAGAACAACATCCAGACCAACGAGCTCTTTTTGAAAAGAAAGTGTTTTAATTTTTAAGCGATAGGTTAATTACCTATCCAAGTTTTTCAGAAAAATGAGAATGACATCCTTAATATGTTAAGTGCTTTTCAATTCTCACATATTGAATTGAGTCATTGCTTAACCTTTCGGCTTATGAGAAAATTAACTAAGCATGACAAAAGTCATACTCAACATGTTTAAAATAAAACTTAAAATAAAAACGAAAACTTTGAAAATAAAGAAAAGAAGAGCTTTATAAAACAAAAAGCATAGAAGAAGAGTGAAATCTGAATGAATGTTTAGGCTTGCCCTGAGAAGGTATTAATAGCCTTTCAAAATCCTAAAAACAATGAAAGATAATTCTTAAACAAAAATAAAAGATATATCCTAAAGATAAATCCAAATGTTTTTCAAATTCAAACTCTAATATTTAAAAACAAATCTCCTAAGATATATCTGCTCGTCCACCTTCCAGAAGTTGCTAATTATATCTTCTAGAATATTGCTACTGATTGGACCTTCTAGAAACTGCCACTGATTGGACTTTCTAGAAACTGCCACAGCAGACCGTGTGTTAGGATTTTCGAAGAAGCTCGATTGGACAACCGAATAAATTTGCCAAGAGGGGTGAATTGACTTTTTGATATTTTAGGGAGTAAGGAGTTAAACAATGATAGAGAAATATTGCACAACGATTTATAGTGGTTCGACTTTCTCAACCAAAGTCTACATCCACTACCTAAGCTTCTCACTTAGGATTTTCCAACAAATCCACTAAATTTGTTCTTTCTTTTTCAAGGATCAAGAGTAACATTTACAACTCCCTAACTTTTCAAAGGCTCAGCTATAACCAAAACCCCTTATACAAAAGAAAAAGAATGTAAATAAAAAAACCTCTAAAAGGAAAGTGTTTACAAAGATTAAGTACAAAAACACTAATATTTACAAGAGAATGAGAATAAAGAGTGAATGAGCTTTTCTGTTGTTGATCAATGCTTGGATAGGTGTTCTAACCCTTCTTCAAGTGTCTTGAACTTGTATTTATATGTTGGAATGTTTTGTGGCCATTTCTAGCCATTGGGAATGATTTGGAACCATTGGGGATGTTTTCTCTACAAAGTAAAACTGCCTAGGACAGAGGGTATTGGTACTTCTATAGGGAGTACGATACTACCTTTGTATATTTAAATAAAACTATTCATTACTATTTGTTGGGTCTAACGGTATCGATACTACTATGTAAAGTATTATCGGTACCTATTTTACATTATGGAATTTGAGCAAGCTGGTAGTATCGATACTACTTAGAGAGTATCGAAACTTCTCTTACATTTGGTATCGGTACTACTTGTTCAGAAAAATGTTTTTGCTCAAATTCTAAGTTAATTGGACTTGAATTATTTTTAAAAACTTTGAATAAATTCAATCAAGTCCAAAAACATTTTTCTTTAATTTGTTATATCAAAAATATTATAAAACATAGTTCAACAATCTCCCCTTTTTTATATAATAAAACATTTGAAAAATCATTTTTGACAAAACTCCCCCTTAATAAAACATTTAATGAAAAAAATATATTTTGGAAAAACATTTAAGCTCTCCCTTTTTCATTCTTGAAATTGAATTTTTCAAATCATACTTCTCTCCCTTTTTGTTATATAAAAAATAATTCAACTTTAAGGTTAAAATAACAATGGAGAGTACGTGGTAAATTTTATCAAAAATTCATTTGAAAAAATCAAAAGCTCTCCCTTAATAAAAACATTCCAAACAAAATTTGAATTGTAAAAGCTTGACACTTAAAAAAATTGAATTTCAACAAAAATGAATAAACATTGTTAGTAACACGTGAAATTCAATATATCCAAGTCTAATAAACTTAAAATTACGTGCATATGCATAAAGTTATCCAAAAATATTATGCATTTGAAAAATTGATATCAACCGTTAGCATAGTTAATTATTGAAAATTGATAAATGATTTGTATCAAATGTCGAGTTTTGGTCTTTGAAAAATCCTTAGCCTTAGTTAATAAAAAATATATTATATTTTTGTTATAATTTAATCAATGACTATTTAATTAAAATATAATTTAAATTGAGAGCGACTAGAATAGAACCAATCGAATATATTAATGATAAATTAAAAGTTTATGTAGTTTAGTGACCAAACTAACAACATCCTATAATAGAATGACTAATAGTGTAGTTTACTCATAAATATATTTTCTTCCAAAAATCTAAGAACTTTGAATAGTCTCCTTTAGGCAACTCCACGCTTGTCCCATCGACTCCATTTTCGGCTCTCTCTGTGTTTTTTTTTCGTCGACCGCAAAAAATATCCCAAAATGGACCCAACGGTACCCTTCGCATCGGCCGACGGAAACGGCGGCGGAGGAGTTGCACCTTTCCTTTTGAAAACATACGAGATGGTGGAGGATTCTGCAACGGACGAGATAGTGTCCTGGAGCTCCAGCAATAAGAGCTTTATCGTTTGGAACCCTCCTGAATTTTCCCGCCTTTTGCTTCCCACTTATTTCAAGCACAATAACTTCTCCAGCTTCATCAGGCAGCTCAATACATATGTGGGTTTCTTTTGCTTTTTTAATTAATTTTTTTCTTTCTTTCTGGGTTTATCTATTTATGGATTCATCTTGTTTGAATTCTGCGATAATTATCTGAAATTATGGGTTTAGGTTTGTATCTGTAAATATTTTGTGATAATTAGTTGGTATAATTGATTTTTTTTTGTTGATAGGACTAAATGAATTGTGATAATTAGTTAGTATATTGAGGAAGTTGAGCACTGAGGAATTAAGGTGAATTGATTTCATTGAAGTCGTATCTCGTATCTCGATTATGTTCGAGAAGTTATATAGGAACTCATTAATTTGTGTCAGCCATAGGGATACAGTTACTATCCATAGGCTAGCAATCTAATTGGATATAGTCCAATGATGATAAAGTTTATTCCGGTAAGTCGTGTAGGCCTGTCAGAAGTTATATTAGCAAGTCACGGTTACTCGAGGGATAGATTAATTAGATATAGTCAGGTGATAGTGAATTTGACTCTGATAGGTCACGTAGGTCTATCATAAGTTATATTAGTAAGTCACGGTTACTCGAGGAATATTAGATATTCAAGATGATTATTTTAGAAATGTTCTTTTTATGTCTATTAGAGTTATGGGGTGTCAGATTCAAGTGTTATGGGGTTCCTTCTGTGGCGTTGAGGCATGAAGATAGTATGTTTGGAGGATCTTTAACAATGGTACAACAATTTTCTTGGTCATTGAGTGCTAGAAGTGAACCAATCTTGTGAAGAACATTAGAGAATTGTAGTAATTCTTTGTCTAATTTGGTATTTATGAATCTTTTGTTTCATTGTTTTAGAATTTCATTCTTCTTTGATGTAATTTCTTTATTCGGATTCGATTATGAGCATCGATATCGAGTTATTCATTGTTCCTACATGTATATGTTCCATTATTTCGTAGATTTTAATGTATTTAGATGGTCCTTGGATGATCAAATTTCATACCCTGTTCAGGTATATGTTGGAGCTGAAGCATTAGTTAAGAGAAATAATGAAATTGATATTTGTTACTTTAGTTTGATTGTGTTCTAGATATCTGAGGATTGGATACTGATGTTCATATGAATGTAACCCGGTGACAGGGATTCCATAAGATCGATCCAGAACGGTGGGAATTCGCTAATGAAGGTTTCGTGAAAGATCGGAAACATCTCCTCAAGAATATCCACCGGAAAAAACCGATTCACAGCCACAGTAATCCTCAGTTTTCTTCGTTAGACCTTGAAAGAGCCAGATTCGAAGAAGAAATCGAGAAGCTTTCGCGCGAGAAAACTGCCCTCGAGGACAATGTTTTGAGGTTTAAACAAGAACGGTTGGCTGCCAAGCATCAGATGGAAGAGTTGACACTGCGAGCCACTCAAATGGAGCAGAGGCAGGAAACTTTGTTTAACTTCATAGACAAGGCGGTTCATGATCCTACTTTTGTCGAGCATCTCGTTCGTAAGATCGAATCGATGGATGCTGTGGCATATAATAAGAAAAGGCGATTGCCTCGAATCGACCAAACCGAGCCACTTGAAGAAAATTGTGTTTTGAACAACAATGCTGAGTTTGGCAATGTTTTCCACCAGGATTTCTCAAACAAGCTAAGACTGGAGCTATCTCCAGTCGTTTCAGATATGAAATTGGTTTCTCAAAGCACGCAAAGTTCAGATGAAGATGGAGCAAGTCCGCGGAGAAGGACGGCTGAAGGAGAACCAAAGGACGCTTATACAAGACCCGAAGGCCTTTTGTTCACACCCGAAACATTAGACCTTTCGGGTGCCGCCACATCTTTTATGTTCAAAATGGATTCCGTGCAACAGAGATGGAACTCCAACGAGGAACCTGATAGTCACATTTCATGTCTACTAAATCTATCTCTGGCGTCGTCTTCGTCGCAAGTCAATAGAAGTCCAAGCTTAACCATGATGTCCCTATTCAGTCAGGAAATCGCAAAAGCTCCAGGGTCATGGTCAAATACCAACATGAAATACTCCGATAGTGGAGCCTCCAAGAACAGTGCAAACACGATCGATGGGGAAGCGACATTATCCCAACCGAAAGAAGGCTGTAAATGTACAACTCAAGAGCCTGCAGCTCCACCGGTTAGAGTGAACGATGTATTTTGGGAAAATTTTCTCACGGAAAGACCCGGTTCCTCCGACGATGAAGCGTCCAATTCCGACTACCAAGCGAATCCATGTGAAGAAGACAATATAAGCTCAAGCCACGGACTAGCAGCGAATGCCAAGAACATGGAGCAGCTTAGTCTTTGAGCAGCAAAGTTGCAAACTTTCCATAAATCATGTTATACATGATATAAATTCATACATACATATGGACGGATTATGTCTTAGTTCGATTAATACTGTTGTTACTTCAACATCTTAGAGGTCGTGAGTTTGAGCTTGCATTAATGTCTAATTTAAAAATTGTTTGTAGTTTAGAAATTGTATCATACATACATAGAGGATTCAATGCCTAAAATTGGTATAACGTAATGTTGAGGAAAATCCTTATGTATGGTTGAATGTTAGCATGAAAATTCATCTCATACATCATGGAAGGGTTCATCTAAAAAGATTAGCCACTGACCACAACTATGGAAAATATCTTTATATATAAAATTAAATAATAATAAAATAAAATAAAACCTAGACCCACCATTGCACCACCACCTACTTTTCAGTCCATAAAATCTCTGTTCAAAATATCAATTTCAAATAATTTGTGGGTCAAATCATTCTTGCTTCAGCCATCGGCCAACCCCATAAAATTTCATTCTATTTGTTTTTTAGTGTATGATTGCATTATTTTTAGGGTAAATTATAAACTTAGTACCTAAACTATTAATTTTAATAAATAAACTTAACTTTTTAAAAATCATACTTAAAATTTAATTTATATTTAATTTTAAATACTAAAACAAATTAAAAATTCAGTACATAAACTAAATTTAGATATTTAAAAAATAATATAGATATTAAAAGTATTAATTTTTTAATAATAAAATATTAAAATAAAATAAAAAACTAAACATTAAATATATTTTAAAAATTATTATTTAAATACTAAAAATGATAATTTAAATATTAAATATATAATTTACAGTAAATTTTTCAAGCATTGTATACCTATGGGGTGTCAAAGGAAGAAAATCCAAGAAAATAGAAACTGAATGTAGGCCTAACAAATTCATTTTTTCAATTTAATATATATAATTTAAGTTTAATTTATATATTTATAAAATTACTCCAATTTACAGAACCAAAACTCGAATAAAATTTTCAATTTTCATTTTAGAAATAAATTTATTTATTTATTCAACCAAATGCAGCAAAAGCCGAGTGCATTAATAGCAAATATTATATAATCTAATACACACATCCACCAATGCCTTATTCAAATCCATTGTCATCTTCAAAAAAAGAAGATCAAATCCCACATCATTTTCCCATCCAAAAACTTTCCCATCACCCAAACACAAAAAAAACACCCTAAATAATCAAAACCTAAACATTAAGAAATTTGAGTAAAACAAAGAAACAACCAAACCGGCCGGATATACTTTTTTCTTCTCTTGACAACTCTCAAGAACTCTCTCCTCAGTACCTGTAATGAGGAGGCTTGTAAGGACCTTCCACAGGCACGCTAATGTAGTCAGCTTGCTCCTTTGAGAGCTTGCTGAGCTTAGCTCCAAGCTTGCCGAGGTGAAGTGCGGCAACCTTCTCGTCAAGGTGTTTCGGCAAAACATAAACCTTCTTCTCATATTTGCCGGTCGACTTCTCCTTCCATAGCTCGAGTTGGGCAATCACCTGGTTAGTGAATGAGCAGGACATGACAAAGCTGGGGTGTCCGGTGGCACATCCCAAGTTCATCAATCGCCCTTCAGCCAACACGATGATGCCGGTTTTGGTATCGGGGAAGACCCATCGATCGGTTTGAGGCTTGATAGTGATGCGCTTGACACCAGGATAGGTCTCAAGACCGTGCATATCGATTTCGTTATCGAAGTGACCAATGTTGCAAACAATGGCATTGTTCTTCATCTTCATCATGTGATCGACCATGATGATGTCCTTGTTGCCGGTTGTGGTGACAAAGATATCAGCCTCGGAGACGACATCTTCGAGGGTCAAAACCTGGAGTCCTTCCATAAGAGCCTGAAGGGCACAGATGGGATCAATCTCGGTAACAATGACACGGGCACCAGCTTGTTTCAAGGCGGCAGCACAGCCCTTCCCAACATCACCATAACCACAGACAACGGCAACCTTGCCGGCAATCATAACGTCGGTAGCTCTCATCAAACCGTCGGGAAGAGAGTGACGGCAACCGTACAAGTTATCAAACTGTTCCAAGGGACAAAATCAAATCATGTCAACCATTAATAATCAATAAAACCACAACCCAATAACTAAAGCAAAGCATACAATAGTCTATACTACTCGAACTCGATTTTTCCTAGATTTAAGATCATATCTCCACAACTATATTCCAAATTCATATCAATTTTACAGTCAAATGAACGCAGTGCATCAAAAATCAAACAACCAAACACCAGATCTGAAGTAATTGACACAAAATATGAAACCAAAATCATCAGATCTGAATAAGAAAAACATGAGATCTACACTATAAAGAAGCTGATAAATGATTACCTTGCTCTTGGTGACAGAGTCATTGACATTAATGGCGGGGAACAACAAAGTTCCATTGGCTTGCATTTGATAAAGCCTCTTAACTCCGGTTGTTGTTTCCTCAGAAACACCAACCAGTCTCCCCTTCATCCTCCTGTACTTCTTGGGATCTGATTTCAGTCCATCTCTGATTATGGTCAAAACAATCTGAAACTCGGGGTTATCAGTCGAAGCCGGATCCGGAACCTGGCCGGTTTTCTCGAAAATCTCCTCGGCTTTAACACCTTCGTGGATCAACAAAGTAGCGTCGCCGCCATCGTCGACGATCAGATCAGGTCCACCGGTGGGACCCCAATCGAGAGCTCTCTCGGTACACCACCAGTATTCCTGGAGGGTCTCGCCTTTCCAGGCGAAAACGGCGGCGGAGTCACGAGCTATTGCGGCGGCGGCGTGGTCTTGGGTGGAGAAAATGTTGCAGGAGCACCAACGTACTTCGGCTCCGAGGGCGGCGAGGGTTTCGATAAGGACGGCGGTCTGGATGGTCATGTGGAGAGAACCGGTGATCTTGGCTCCCTTGAAAGGCTGTGAAGGACCGAACTCGGTCCTACAGGCCATAAGACCGGGCATTTCGACCTCGGCCAACTCGATCTCGAGTCGGCCAAAGTCGGCCTGAGACATGTCCTTGACCTTGTACTCACGGCCGGCGGCAGTTTTCTCGACGGAGAGAGCCATGACGGAGAGAAATGGAGATAAAGAGGGGAAGAATTCAGTGAATAACACACTCTCCCTTAATGAAGATTGGAGTGGGAGTGGCGAGAGATTTGGTAAGGAGAGAGGTGTTATAAATAGACTCAAGATGTGGAATTGAACGGTCAGGATTTGGTGGGTGGGTTGGTGGATCTCATCTAATCCTAGATGTTGATAAATCACGTAATCGTTGATATATTTTTGTCATATCTATGAATTTCATTTCAAATTAGTCCTTAAATTTTTAAATATTTAAATTTCATCCATAAATTATGATTATCATTTTAAATTAATACCCAAACTATATTTTTATTCTAAATTAGTTCTTATACTTTTTGAATATTTCAATTTTATCCTAAATTATATGTATATGTTAATCACATCTCTTGTTAATAAATAATTAGGCCAAGTTATATTATTATATGTTTGAAAAAAAAATTAGGTAAATTGTGGTTGAAATGGATTACACATATGGATGGATTTGGGGTGAAATTGGAAGGTCTAAAAGTTTAAAGGTTAATTTAGAATTAGTTTCATAGTTTTGGGATGAAATTTGAATGTTTAAAAGTTTAAGGACTAATTTAGAATGAGAGTCATAATTTGAGGATGTAATTGGAATGTTTAAAAATTAAACGACTAATTTCAAATGAGGGTCATAGTTTGGGAATATATAATGCAGTTAACTCTTTTAATAAATTAAATTCATATAAATCCAAATTGAACTTGAATTCATCAAGTAGTTTTCGTAGTAAAAGTAAAGATTATTTTTAGAGGTTTTGGGTATGGGGCAATTGTATTTGTAGGGTGTGTATGTGTTGTCAATAGATTAGAAAAATTTTGAATAAATATTATTTTATAATCATCTTAGACTATTCAAAAAATTGAATATATGCAAATTGTTTTAAAAAAAACAATTGACACCAATTAATGTGACACGTTAAAAAAATTTTGCCGCCCTTCTTTTAATTGTTTCTTATACCTCCAAAAATTGAATATATTCAAATAGTTAAAAAAAAATTGTCACTACGGGTTTACTGCCGTTAGCGCACTACAGAATTGATCACTTTTTTTCAGTTTTATAAATATATTGTCGCTTGATTCAAAAAATATAATTTTGATCGCTTACATTATCATTTTATTAAGATTTTATCACTGAAACGTTAGTTTCCGTGAGTTTAATGATGTGACACATTGGTAAAAATGTTTAATTTTTATTTTAACTCATGAAATTTAGATAAATTACTAATATTGAGTTTTTTTGTAAATCCAAAATAATTTACGGATAAAATATAAATTCACCCCTTTTTTCCATATGTTTTCTTCCACATTCCTATCTACTCTGCCGCTTCCCTTACTTCATCTGGTTTTTTTCCCCTTCTGTTTGGGTTGCTGAAATATTGATTATCCCAACCTTAAATCAAATTACTCCCAAACCCAATCCATTAAAGGTAGAGACGCAGTTGCAAGCGACGGAGGTGAAATTTTAGCAAGAATTATTTAATTTCATTGCATATTGTTGTGGGCAAATATAGTTTTGATGTTTTAAAAATCGATAGCGCGACAGGAAACCTATTGTGACCAAATCTTATTTAAATAAAAAACGAATATAATCATATCTTATGTGGGGATAATGATAAAGACTAGTAGCTGCAACACGAAACGGGAAGGCACTGTCGGTGATGACCTAGACTCGTGACTGTGATGCTTTTGTAACCCAAAAAAAATATCATCATATCTTATGTATTTTAAAATTAGTTATTAAAAATAGACAAATCATAAACATAAGTGATCATTCGTATAATTAACCCAAAAATTTATTTACATCATAATATTAAGTTGGCTAAGACTAGCAAAAATCTATTTTTCTTTTCCTATTTTTTTTCTTTCAAAGCCATAAAAATTCTTCAATTAAACAATTTATTTGACGGAATATCTTTGAGTGTAA